TGGGAGTACCCAGTCTACTTCTCCTCACGGAGTGGAGACTTTGAAGCCGTACGCTTCTTAGAGGGCTTGGCGGCTTCGCCTTTAGAGGCCTTAGCACGCGCAAATCCCTCGGCAAGCGAAAGACATTGGCGAGGTTTCTTTTACTCGTCGCCACCAACTTTTGGAGTGCCCTTAGCCTTAACGGCCGGGCTCTCAGAACGCACAGACGACCTGGGACTGTGATTCCCGTGACACCTAGCGAGCGACTGCACGCTGTCGTCATTGTGCTCGCTGAACACTGGGCTGTGCCCTCCCGTAGAGCCCGCAGAAGCATCGTGCGTGCTCTCAGACTCGGCTTTGTTCTCCCTGCCAGAGTCAAACTCACGTTCCGCGAGCCGAGGGTTCGGACGATTGTCTGGGAAGGCCGAAGGCGACGGACTGTGGCGCTTGCTCGTCCGCTTGCGTACAGCCGCGTCACTAGATAAGCCGATCGCCTCGGAGGTCACCTTAGTAGCCTCTTGAAGTGCTGAGCCTTTGTCGTGATGCTTAGAGCTCTTGGCTTGCGCCCTCCCGGCAGCAGCCTTGGAGCGTGTCTTCGCACCGCTCTTTGCAGTGTCACGAGGCATGATTAGCGGTCGAAGTGGAAGATCTAGAAGAAGAGCGCACTGACTGCTGCTCGAGGCTCTAACTGTGAAGTGAGCCTCCGCCGCGCTCGCGCGACCAAGACGATGGTTTTCGACTTTGAGAATGAAAGTTTGTGACGAAAAAAACACCTCTTCATTCTGATTGGTCGGTAGAGCGAACCTAAGTGGGGGAGGATGTAACGAGGTACGTAGCCCTAAGTGTACCCTGGTTACATGAAGTGTGACACGTCATACTTCGGGATATTTGGTACAAGGTACCAAGGTTGTCCAAGGTCAACCATTGGCTAATGACATTGCTTTTCTATGGGGGACTTATAGTTTGTACCAAACTCAAGCTTTATTTACCGATCAATATACTTACTGTCACCTTACATTCTACCTTAAATTGGTCACTTCGCTCCCTTTCGATACAAGGGGACCTGTGAACTGCCGGTCACTGAGAGTTTGTATACTCTCGGAAGCCAACTCCCTCTAGCGCAAGGTGCTGTGTGACCCCGTCACAACGTTAGCGTGATGGGTGATTTAGCTCCAAGTGAACATTTAAAAGCAATTTATGTAATATTATTATCTACTGACTGTAAAAACATCAAAATTTTCATGACTGACCGTAAAAGTTGCTAAGGCTGGGACAAGACTCAAAAAGATCGCCGTACGACAGTATGTTGCACGTTTGTACATAGATCTTATTCCATTATTATTTCGTAGACGACCTACAAGTTTCTCTCAGTAGCAAATTCCTCACTCACAGAATTCGGAAAAAAGATCTGAAACCAATAACTACAATATTGATCCAATAAAATAATTGGTGATTGAACCTGGTCGTATTGCAGTTATTATAACTGAGGTCTAGTTTTATCAAGCGTCCAAAGTTTAAGTAATAGTTTTCAATACAATAATATTTATGCGATCGAACAAATTGTAAGGATTATTACGGCATAACTAGTTTCGCAATCTGTTTATTTTTTTATTTTCCGATCCCTGTACCCCACTTATTCCGGTCTCCGCCGCTTTCGCGCTGGCATCCTGGGCTTTACCAAAGCGAGACGAAGGGGTTGTCGTGCGTGAATGCGATTTATGTGAAGGATGCAAGCTGTTTAAAGTTCAAGAAGCAGAAAGAAGTTGTGAGACCGGAGATTGTTTTCACGGATCCTGCCACACCCTTTCAAACGCTGCTCAAACCTTGAGCTAATGAGCTTTTAAAATCTCCATTAGCTGCTTGATAGAGCACCTACAAACAGTATCACGGCTAGGAGAATGGTTAAGGCTAGCATCGGAAACTAACCAGGAATTGGCTGGACAAAATGTAGTTTTTGTATCTGGGAGCTTGAATTTGCTCTTCTTCGATAATGTAACTTGCCACTGACAAAGATTGGACGTACACATCCATACTTTTCTGAGACCTGCAGAGATTTTTGTACGACCGACTGTTAATCGCGTAGTTCCGTAGAAATACTGTGCTGCCGGAGCCGTCAGAAAAACGTCGTGTATGTTGATAGTTTGTTTAGTATTCTTAGCTAAGACGTTGACCCAGGCTGCATTGTTTGCTGTAGGTTCCGTAAAAATCTGAGTAGCTTTTGACAAGAATACTTCGACCTCATAAAATTATTTTAAGTCCTCAACATAGTCCTTTAACATCGTCTTCAAGATCATTAGCCAATCAGCTTTCCAAGTCATGTCATATGCTAATTTTACGGCCAGTCATGAAAACTTTGATGTTTTTACGGTCAGTAGAGATAATAATTCGTTAATGAATCGCTTAATGGAGTCGCACGAACGTAAACTATGGTGCTGCTCGAATGTTGTTCTTGACCGACTAGGTCAACTTCCGCTTGGCGGGATAAGATTCAGCGGTTCATCAAATATATATCGTCAATTCACTGAGTAAGGGATTATTTTATAAGGTGAAATATTATCCCGCCATTACAAGAGTATCCAATTATCCTATTATACAGAAATTTGAGGGCTTGCAGAGCTCAAGCCATGGTGTGATGTGGCCCACATCACATCATGTGGGGCACTTTGAAGTTTACGGCGTGAATAAAACGTTTTCCATGTTTACGGTTTGTAAAAAACGTAATATAGACAGTAACGTTTCCCGCAGTGTAGTTTAGTCTCGTTGCTGACACAATTTGTTCACGTTTACATCATGGTATATCCCTGCAAAAATGTTGCTTCCTTCAAATTTGGTTTACTCCCTGGGCCCCTCGAAGCTTGAACATGTCGATCGAGCGTATTATTAATCGAGGCCGACATTATTTGCGCCGGCGAGAGGTACTATTGCATTTGTGGATGCTGAAAAGGTATCTCGCTTTTTAAACAGATAGCTTCTACTTTTGTTATAGTAGAGCATGGATGCTGCAATCCAGCTCGTTTGAGGCATTCTAGCCCGATCAGATTCTGGGTGTTATAAATAGCAATCGAGGCTCGATTTGAGAATTCCAGCTGGATTGGGCCCAAAAACCCCGGATTCGCCAAAAGTCGAGCACTACCTAATACATTACATCAAAGTGGTGACGGAAGAAATCTTAAAAAAAAGTTTCTATTTCCAAAGGTTTTTCAGCCTTTGCCGTAAATCGCTACCAGGCAATGTGGTTTTCCCATCTTAAAAAGATAGAGAGCTAATTTTTTGTTGGTAAAGTAATTTCCTAAATGCACGCCCTGAAGACGTCTATCGTGATCTACGAGCAATTTATTACCGCCGGAAAAAGTACAGTTTGCGACCAAAGTGGCTCTCTGATTTATTTTTTACCATGCAAAATGATTAACCTAGATCTTTGGTCTTAAATGGACCTCACGAGCCTTGGCACCACTCCTATTACTTCATTACTTACTGTAGAGTCGAAATTATTGGGTCAGCACAGCGGTATGAAAAAGTTTTCGTCAGCCAGATTTGTTTTCGGACATCTTTCTGCCCAAATGTCACAGGGTAGAGTTGGTTCAAGACAAGCAATTCCAGTTCCTATCGCTTACGACGATTTTATAAAACTGACTTTATAGTTTCAAGGTTACCGGTAGCTAAAAAAATTAAGTACATGTACAAGTGCTTCATTTGTATAATAGCATAGACAGCCCCATTTATCAAATCATGATTTGTAGTTGCGATAGGTCAGCCGCCCCCCCCCTTCGTAAAACTCCAGCCGACAGCCAGGAACAAGTAAGAAAAACAAGAACACAGTAATAATATCTCTGCTCAAATGCACTGGATGTTGCTGGTCGTCCTCTAAGTTCTCAAGGTAGCGCTGGTGCTGTCGATGAGGTCGGCATCGAACTTCCACCTGACAACAACGTGTTGAAAGCGTCTCGGCATACAAAGTCGAATGAAGGAGCAGCTGGGCATGTCATCAACGCAAACTTTTCTTCCGATCACGACGAGTGAACGATTAAACACTGGATAGGATTCTCGAAACTTGCGGAACTGGACAAGACGATTTGGAGAATACGCAAACTTGACATGAAGCTGTCGAGTAAGATGTGGATCCATTTCGGCAAAGATTCCGAAAACGTGTTTAACCTTCTCCGTCTTTCAAAACTCGAGTACAAATTTGATGAGAGCAAGAAGACAATCCAGTGGTTTGATTCGTGAATGATTATCGTGCGGCGAGGGGGGATGAGGAGCTCTCTGATTATCTAATCGACGCGGATTTGAGCAGGAAAGGCAAGCTATCTGAGGTTAAGATGGCAGAGCTCTTTCAGGCGCTTGCGCACGTTCCTGACCTTAAAAATCTGGCGGAGATAGTGCAGAATGTGCAGTACAAGGTGTGGATCACGAAACACAAAACCCCTGCTGACATCGCAGATATGTTGATGGTAAGACTCTCCGGGCCCAGGCCAACCGATACATCTGTACATCCTCGATATACAATTATCAGTGCCTATCAAAAGGTGTATAACACAGCACATCCAACCTGAACGTATTGTTGGTCAGTTGGTTGGAAAAGGCGGTTTCTCCACCGAGCGTCTCAATTCCTATTATCGTTGGAAAGAGTTGTTTATCGGATGCAGTTGACGGAAGGTAGAGCGACAATAATGAATAACGAGACAAATTGTGTTTTGCAATTTTTACTCAAGAATAATAAGAGAAAAAGATAATTGCTAAAAATTGAACAGAAATGCAAAAATACTTTTAAAAAAGTTATTTAATGGACTTCATGTCGTCGATAAAGCTGCTTAACGTGTGACGTTGAGTGAGCAAATACGCAGACTACAGCCAATGACATAGTAAATGTTTAATAAACTCAATGTAATGGGGCTTTCACCGTTCAGCATGTAGCCATGCACTAGTTTAGTCGTTCTCGATTCCATGTGTCACCTGACGTGCTTGGATTCTCGCAATATCATTCCAAAACGAGTCCCAATAGCGCTTTGCAGAGTTCGCTCTCACTTTTCGCCACTGCACTCGTCGATTACCTTGCGCCTCCATCAGCTTCTCCAACAGATCTTGATTCTGGATTTCGAATCCGTCGACCGTTCTCCATCCATTGTTGCGCCATCGATAGATCCATTTACTCATTGACTCAATTAGAAGCTTACTATCCGAGTAAATGAACAGCACTTTCCTCTTGTCGCTGTCCTGAATATTAGCCCGTTCCATAGCAGCTAAAGCTGCCATGTACTCAGCCCTGTTGCTAGTTGGCCATGGTCCTTCCACCGATTTTACCACGTCCCAATCTCGGTTATGCGGGAAAATACAGGCGTACGCTGCATTACAATCCGGTTCCCCATTCCGAAGTGCACTACCGCCACAGAATGCCACAATAGAACTGGGGTGGACAGGGTCCGGGAAGTTTCCGTGCCCACTGTTCATAGCATAGGCAAACCAAAGTCTGGAGCCATCGAAATGTTCATACTCGTGGTCAACTTGCAGTCCGTACTGGTTGAGGAGCTCACGAGCCTCCTCGAACGTTGGAAATTTTCTGAATATTGAGTTGTAATACCCTGGTATAGATTCCCCGACATCTACCGATTGCTACGGCGTAATGCCAATCTAGATCTTCTTCTTCCTCCTCGGTGGCAGCTTCCTGCATTTCTTCGTTGTTGCTGTGTTCTCTAGAGTCCCCGAACGCCATGTCGGTGCTTTTGTCAGAACAGGACGAGCTTGAAGAAGAGTCGTAATCCCAGCCCATTTAGGTGGTTCTGAAAAATGAGTTGTGGGAAAAGTTTCTTCGTGTATTTAACTTCAATGAGCACTCGTACCTACGTGAATATATGCTTCAACATTGTGAAGCGACATAATTTGTTTAATTCAATCCGGTACTTTCAAACATCAAGTTTGTTTGAAGTACATGTACTACTGAATTTTATGTTTTATTTCAGTATTGGAGTACAGTACAATTATGCAAGGATATTTATGCTGAGAGATGTTTCACCTACGCGACCTTATCATTCTACAAGCTCGAGGATATTGACACAGACAAGAAGGAGGTGAGCATGGAGCTAAGGTAATACTGATGGGTGCCCCACGTCTACTCGGAGCTGCAGCAGCTGCACGAGCGTAGCGTTCTAAATAGGCAGAGACGGCTACAAAAAAGTTTTATTTCCGTAAATTGCGCTAAAAGAGCAGTGTGTGAGCTGTTCCGTTGTCCAAGATACAACAAATTTTAGTGTTGCTGCTAGGAACAAAAGGACCATTTTCTTGGTTTGCTATTACCTTTGGTGGGACGTGTGGGGTCAGTTACGGCACCGACGCAACAGCTGACTTCTTGGGCTTGGAACGCCAGAACCAGCTGTTATACTGCTCATAGACCGGGAACTTTGGCTTGGACGCAGCAAGAATAGGGCTCATATCACCGAAATAATGGTAATAGACATGTTTGGGCCGCATTCCGATAAGTTTCCAGAATCTGAATTTCAGATGGAGTCGGAGCGACCTCTCTTCGTCACTCGCAAATTCGCTCTCCGTCATTTTGTCAGATCCCAACAATCGCTTGTTGCTGCCGCCCTTCTCGTCAATATTAGTAGAGGTCGGAGTCTCGCCTGATCGCAGTGAAGCATATCCCTTCATCTCGCCTACCGCCGTAGTAGCATTGATACAACAAAGGATGAGGACTGTTGATGCAATTACTGCGTAGAGGCGCATGGCTAGTTTGAAACCCCTGAGCTTGTGACTTTGAGAGACGCTGTGATAATGGCAGGCTTCAGTGCGTGGTTTGTTGTGGCAAAGTGTCCGAAACAGCTTTTCCGGCGTGACGGTTCTATTACGGGCGGTGTCTAATCTTGAAAGCATGTGTCGAAAAACACAAACATCCAGTGAACAAGATAATTTGGCTGGTAGTTGTGAAATTCGCAGGACGGCGGAGGACAGCGTGAATGCATGCACGTGCGTGACGTATTACGGGCGTTGTCTAATCTTGAAAGCATATGTCGAAAACACAAACATTCAGTGAAAAAGAGAATTTGGCTGGTAGTTGTGCTGAAGTAAGGGGTTCGCAGGATAGCAGGGGACAGCGAGAATGCATGGTAGGTTGGACCTATTCTTTTAGAAAGGCTTAAATATTGAAGGAGAAGAAGCTTGTGGTAGATTGAGTAAAAGAAGAAGTGAGGACCAATGATCCCGATCCTCTCGTTAATATTTGAAGATTTGTAGTCGATACATCGATTAGTTTATAATACGGAAGTCTTTCTAAAAGCATTGCTGTGACTTCGAAATAGCACATTACGTCGGGGATGCATACTACACGTCAACAGCCTTCCACTTTGATGAACATGAAGCTTTGTCATTCAGCCTTCCGGTTTATTGTAAACTATTTGCTCTTGTATAATTTAACTTCTGAATGCTTTTTGTTTTAGTTTTATTTTGCGATAATTTGCAGGAAAGCCTTTTTTACATTAGAAAAGCAAACCTGTTCACCGTCGGGTAGATCTTTTTTCGATTTCAGCTATTTAACTGCTTTGTAGTGATGATTCAGTTTAAGTCGACTTTGTAAAGGTAGCTGACCGTTTTGTATCAGGGAACGTTTTAAAAAAGTTGAGGCACAATCGTTGCTTCTGATTAGTTAGATGATGGTGTATTTCTTTTACAAATAGAACAAATAAGGTTTTACGATACTTACACAAGAATGACCTCCGAGTTTGTTTATCTCGTTTATTAATTGTTATTTGCAGCAGCGCTAGCGACAAGAGTGTCGCTCAAAATCAATTGACAGACATGTTGGTGCACCTACTTGCAAGTATGAGTCTGCATTGGACAAATTCTCCTTTTTCTGCAGAAGTCTCCTCATGAAGCGAAGGGGCCGTCTCATAAAATTTCATTGGAAAAACACAGCGACCTTGTGATTTGTTAAATGTATCTTAATCTATGTGATCCGATATAAAGGGGCATATGAGGTGTAAGCAACGCTTATTCAGCTGGACTTCTTTATAGGGTAACAGCCTTTACACGTTCACGTTGAGGTGGAATATTGCCAGCCACTTTTGCACTTGACTCTTATTAAGGTTGTTTGCATTTTTTTGTAAATAATCGGTGCTACTTTGCCCAGAATTTTCTCATTGCGCAACCGCAATTTATTTGATGCTATCTTTGTCTTTTCTTTTGGTTTCCTCTTCGGTGTTTGGCAGATTGATCCGCGTATTCCATTGTGCTGGTTGTTTGAGGGAAGTTTGCCCTACAGTTTCACTTAGCCGATAAGCTTTGAAAGTTTTAAGCACGTTTTGGAAACTCCAAAATATTGTTAAACTGCACAACTACTGTGGTAGTATGGAAGCTTTCTTGCCAGGGGGGGGTACGCTTCATCTTGGCAAATATGGAGCGTGATAGCAAAACGTCCGAGAGAGTTTCGCTCACTCTTCTTCACGACAGCCGGTTTCTCGGCCAATCGCTGGTTCATCTGATATTGGACTCACCTTTCTGGTGGCGAAGTCTCTCTGAGTCTGAGCGTGCTGTGTGCTGTCGACTACCACGATGCGGGCTGGCAGGCCGCTCTTGACAGCCTTGCTCTAAGGATGGCCCAGCCGATCCCATAAACAGCCGGAGTTTGGCTTGCACACACCAGCAGAGATCGGCACGGAGCGGTTCAGATTCATGTATTCAGGTCATGCTCAATAACCTCTGCCGCCTCATTTCCCGGGATGTGGAAGGGCTCGAGTCATGTTTCTGTAACGGGCCTAGAGTGTCCGTTACTAGCTTACACGTAATAATGATGAAGCGTGCAAGCTCCGCGATAGTGAAACCAAGTGCTTAGTCTGAAGGAAATCAACTCTGTTTTTATTTAGGTCCAGGGCAGCTTGCCCTGACCACTCAAATACACGTCAACCCCTTATTGGCTGATAATGGGTCTGTCTCCCCATATATCAACCAATAGGATGACGGCAGTTCAGCACACGCTAGCCGTGTGCTGCTGCACCTACTTTTGTAATATAAATCTACCTACTTATGTAATGGCGTGGCCCACTACATCACCCCCCTCTTACAGTTGCACTTCCGCAACATAAGCGACGGGCGGAGAACAAATCACTCAAAAGGGAAACGAGAAGAAAATCGTGGCCAACAGGAACGAACGAGGCGGGGACGAGACAGATCCTGCGCCACTCAGGAGAAGTACAACACGACTTGCACAGCAGACAACAGGAGCGGACGACGGAACAGCAACAGCAGCAGATTCCAGCGACGGCGACGTCGCTGACGAGCGCGACGACCGCGGCACGCGGCACCCACGTGATGGACGAGGCGCTGAGACCCTGATCCCTGTATGACATGTCCGGAGCGCAAGATCCGGAGTCCCTGGACGAGATGAAGGACCTCTTCCGGCGTTTTCGTGCGCTGCGCCAGAAGCCGGTGGACGGCGTCGACCACAGTGCGCTGCAGGAGTCGAGGTGCGCCTTCATCCGGCGCTGGACCCGGACGCAAGCGCAGGAAGAGAAACTCGTCAACTGCATCGCATACCGGGAAGAAATCATCGGGGGCCATTCCTTGGGCGAGCTGCGCGTACGAATCTGCGACAGCGCTTGGAACGCCGACGACCGCATCTGCTACGTGCGAGTTGCTGAAGGCTGCAGGAGGTGTGTGTCGTCTCGCCCGACTACGGACGAGTGGAGAGCCCATGTCGCCGAGCATCCGCTCAGTGATCGCGAGAACGCCTGGATCCAGCGTTTCCGTCGCTCGCTGTCCGAAAAAGCCAGCGCCACTAGTCGCGCCGGCTCGCGCCGACACTCATCTCGACGAAGCGCATCTCCGCCGCTCCGTTGGGATTACGAGAACTCGGGTCGTCGTTCTCGGTCGCGCTCGCGCGATCGCCAGCTGCGTCGTTCTCGATTACGTTCGCGGGGTCGCGCAGACTGGAGATCTTGTTCTCGGCCGCCGCGTGATTATTCGCGGCGCACTCCGGCGCAGGAAGACTGGTGTCGTACTCTTGGATCACATCCGGGACATCGCGAAGGAGATTCGCGCGGGGCTCCCACGTATCTTGGTCCGCCGGAAAGCCAAGCCATCGTACCCTATAGCGGCGCGCGGCGGGGAGCCTGCGACTGGTGGACACATGGCTGCTGCCCCGACCCGATGGGGAGGGTCTTCGTGATCGACAATCTTTCTCGACTATCCAGCGGATCCTCGCCAGCTGAGTCGACTATCGGCGGGGGACGTCCCGCTGATACGACTGACGTTCTGGTTGGAAGCCGCGAGAAAATCTCGCGGGGAGCTTCTGAATGGCGTATCAGGAGGCGGAGGAGGCCCAGGACGCGGCTGCAAAGGCCGTGAGGACTGCGACTGAGACTCGTCAATCGAATCGGGAACTCTTGGCGCGCGCGAGGCTTCTTGAGCGCGCGGTACACGGTAGTCTGCAGAGCGGGACGGTGGAGCAGGCGCCTGGTGTGAATGGCGCGATGACTCGGCGCGCGCGTCGGGCGGGGCGGCCGCTATATGCGCCGGCGGCTCAGGAGACTAAGATCAGTGGGGAATCGTAGCGGGCAGGTATTGCTTGAGTCGTCCGACGTAGAATGTCGAATGTAGCCGCAGCGACGTGGGGATATCCAGTGTGTAAGCCTCGCCAATAACCTTAGTCACCGTAAATGACCCAATAAAGCGCGGTGCGAGTTTACTCGCGCCGAGGTTGGTTACGGCAGAGTCTCTGATTCCTGAAGTCGACAGGAGCACTCGATCTCCTGTCGCGAACTTTACTGTGTGTTTGCGGCCGCGCTTGTCCGCGTTTTCCTTCTGCTTGTCGACCGCCGTCTGCAGCGCGTCGCGGACGTATCGGGCGACTGCTTGGCGCTGGAGGAGGAAGTCTGAGACAGCGGTGTTATCAGCCGGATGTGCCGGTTGCTTTGGCGCGTAGTTCGCTGATGGAGACACCGCGTTAACGGTGCCAGGACTGAATAGGGCACGATTCGTACACGAGGCGAGAGGGGACACCTCGTCGCGGGGAGTCGTCAGGACCTTCCTGGCCTGGGCGTGTTGCACTACGTTAACAGTCGCTGAAGATGAGGCTGCACTCGAGGAGGAGTCGGCAACCGGTATGGAAACCGGTTGAGGGTCCATTACCGGTGTTGGCGCAGAAGACTCGTCGGCAACCGGTATGGTAACCGGTTGTGGGTTCGAAACCGGAGTTGTGACAAAGTGGTTGTCGCCTCTTTCACCCCCACCCAGAGTGGAGCCACACGGCGCCGTGGGACGGCCCACGGCGAGGAGAGCTGGAACGCGAGGGTGCCGAGCGTTGTTGACGAAGAAAGGAGTCAAGCCAGTCGACGCGTGAACCGCGTTGTTCAGCGCGAACTCAGCAAGCGGAGAGAACGAGCTCCAGCTCGTAAACGACGTCGCATAGCTGCGCAGTACGTCCTCAAGAACGCGATTAACTCGCTCGGTTTGGCCATCCGTCTCCGGATGAGCGGCCGTCGACATCAGCAGCTTTGTCCCTGATAGCTCGAAGAGCTTCGTCCAGAAAGCGGACGTGAACCGCGGATCGCGGTCCGAAATAATGGACTCGGGCATGCCATGATGACGGAAGACTGCATCCACGAAGTGCACCGTGGTATCGGCCGCGGTGATCGTATCCGGGACCGGGATGAGGTGGACCATCTTGCTGAACCTGTTGACGAATACCAGGACACCGGAGCGCCCGGCGGAGTCGGGTGGGAGGCCAAAGACGA